CTTTAAGTTAATATTCTTCTCCATAGCTATCCTTCTAACTGCAGGAGTGGCTAAAGTTTTTTCTAACCCATATTTTACTATGTGTTTTTCTTCGTCACTTTCAAAATTTTGTTTATTTTCAGTATTTGTGATTTGTTGTTGCTGCTGCTGCTGCAGATTCTCAGTGATCGTTGTCCTATCTTGTACTTTTCCATTATCGTCATTTAGTTCAATGTCCAGCAATGAATTTCCTATCAGAGCTATATCATTCACCTTGTAATGCAAGGCTTTAATTAATCCGTCGTAACGGCTAGTAATCGTCACGGATGCTTTGTCGCTTTGAACCTCACAAATGTTATCGAATTGAGACACTTGGTCACCTGGTTTCACGTACCTATACATTTGAATACATGGAACTATATTTCATTTGTCTTTTAATGACATTTGGAATAAAACGCACTATTCGCACTATTAATGGATACTTTGGATGTATTTATATATAGGTTATGTGTTTTTATCTAAAAACAATTTTTTTCTCTCAAAATGAATATATTTCTCAAAAAAAGATAGTTTAATAGTAATAGTGGTAAAAAGAAATGATCGGTAATTGCGAACGTTTCGTGCATATAACGATTAACGGAAAATTCATTGTTTTGCTCACCATTCTTTTATCGTGACGTCTCGAATTCCTTCTCCGATATCCGATAGTTTGAAGGGAACGATGGTTCCGTATCGAAAGTAGCTTACGAAGAAAAATCGACATTTTTGATCGCGTATATTTCTACCCTAAATAAACATTGACTTCTTTGTATATTCGTTAGCAATAACTTGGGAACTTTTGCTTCTGAATAATTTCGTATATCTATTTTAAATTTATGTTAGAAATAAAATAAGAAAATTAGATATTTGTAATTACAAATACATTCAAACTTTAAAAAATATTATCTTATACATTGAATTTGGCGTATTGAATTCGTTATCGATTGTTATTGAAATGCGATCAATTTAATTTCGATTATACAATCGATTAGTGTCACGTTCTGTAGCCATCTTTAGTTTGAATTTTGACTTAAGCAAGTGAATCGGATGTGAATAAAGTAAAGTAAAAATTGTCGAAAAATAGAAATAAATTAGTGATTTAGAGAATGAATTAACAGTAAAGTGTATTGTTGCTTCAAGATATTTCGAATCGATATATAAATTAAATTAACTGGTTCTGGATAATTTTCTCAGATTTGAAGACGAATATATTAAGCTTAATGGGATTAAAGGAAAAAACATCTGTACTGGTAAATGATTATCTATTTACACAAATTATCTTATCTTTTGATATTTGTATTAAGCGAAACAAAACATATACTTAATATAAATCAAGTGTTTTAATGTTCTAATATTTTGTTATAAATATTTGAAAATTAATTATTCAGATGATTATAATATGTAGTAGGAAACATTAACCAATCACGTTATACAATTTATAGAAATTATCCAATCAAAACAATTCTTATTTCTTCAGTTTTTTCTATTTTTAAAGACTATATAATAATCCATTATTTAATCAAATATACATCATATACTCAATTCGAAATTTGAAATAGAATCAAAACGAATAGAAATCGAATTGGAAACCTTTCATAATTCTCTATTAATTCCGTTATATATTTTGACAAAATGTAGACGCTTTTAGCAACTTTGATCAGATGGCTAGGTCGCGTGTTAATTTCATTTATTGCGACACGGTTACGTGTTTATTACTTTAGTAGTTCTCTGATGTATAATTTGCTCAAAGACCACAAAATGGAGTGTATCGTAAGAGGTGACATTCTCTAGCAGAACATATATTGGCTCTCTAAAGGTTGAACAATCCCAATATAAACGGTATATAACTAGATTGCTAGCCATATCTACGTCATATTGATTAAACACATCAGACGATACAATGCAAAAAAATATTCGTTGTTTTCCTTGTTTTTTAAATATTTTAGTTATTTAATTTGATTTTTGATATTAAATGCGACAAAATTATCATATTCTTGTTAGTAATAAAATAATCGTAAATATTAAATTTATTCTCATCTTCATGCTTAAATCAATCATTTAAATCAATATTTGATATTTTAGAATTTTGTTCAAATTGAAATATTTCGTAATTCATATATAAATAACTTCATCTATCATGATTTATTTTTTTTTATTTTTATATGACATATTTATATGACATATATTTCAATTTAAACATCATTTCAAATATTGAATACCAAAGTGATTCGATTTGTAATGGAATAGTTCGTTTTGTTCGTTAAACGCGCACTCGAAAATTACCGAAGATAACCGAAATTACACGATGATATCATGATATCTATAATGATTTGTCGATTCGTGTTAAGATATATCGCTTTAAATTCAGTATTCTCTTACCAAAAATATTAAAGACTTCTTGGTTATTGCCATCGCTTTACCAGAAAATTGTCACCAGTTCCGAATATAATCGAGATTTTCTTTTGAAATATATCGCAGCTGATGGAGAAGTGGAAGATTGTCTATAATTATAAAGATATAAGAGTGTGGATCTTTCAAGCAAACTTGTTATTACCATTGCGTCAGTATTATTATCAAAATAATATATTGTTTACGTACTTGGAAGAGAAATTACGCAACTTCTGTATCAGTGGCACTGGTAAAGAATAAAATTATTTTGTACTTAATGAACAATTATATTCCATTACGTTCCTTTGATGTACAAATGTTAATTTCAACGAGTTCTTTCTGGTTTTGTTCGCCATTGATAATATTTATGATCGTTGTTAATCAATCAAAATTTTGACATTATTTAAATTTAAATGCACATTCGACCCACATATTAATGAAACAACTGTGATAACGATTATTTTCAAATATAATCATTTGATTGCTTTTTCGTTTTCTTCCGGTCAAACATATTTACATAGAATCGAATATCAGAACATTGTGTCCTTCTATTTCAATGATTTTCTCGAATATTTTCAGTTTTCTAAAAAATTTGAGCTTTGCATGCAATACAAGTTATGAATATTCTTACACAGGTCACTCAATATTAAAATACATGTAAAAATATTCTTTCATAATAATTAATGTATAAGTATCGAATACAAGAGTGTGAGCTATATGACATTTATATTTACAGAAAATTAAATAAATTTGATTCTTTTTTATTATGAAAATGACGAATCAAATTCGATTGTTTATTAGCATTTAAAAATATAAGAAATATACAAATATAGGTTAGATCGCAATGCGATTCATAAAAATGATTGCTATTTATTATTAAATTATAATTTTTAAGATTTTATATAATTTTACATCATATTAACGTGTTTTTATTTGAGAAACACAAAACACTTGCTAATACTGTGCAAATATCATCTTGAAAAGTATTTAAACCAATAGTTAATCGATATTAAAACACAACGTAAAAATTTTATTAATATTAAAAATCAACGAAACTGTAAATGTAAATGTAATCGGTCATCTAGGACTCAAAGCATAGCCGGACAATTTGATTCTCGTTGGCTGCTAATTTATCTGTCACTAAAATCAGGTTACAATCCCATAAGTCACTGTAGCGAATGTGACGCTCATGTCACCGGATTTACGTGCCTGTATGAATTTTCTGATTGTAAAGTTAACTGAATTAAAATTATTTTATCAAATATAT